ATCACACGACTGTCCATTTGATCCCAGGCCTGTCCATTTAATCCCAGAGAGCATTCACCACGACAGCTCTATCACAAAGTAGCTCACTACCTAAAGTAGAAGTCAGACAGAAATATGGAGGCAGTGTAGATGTTTTTAGATTATAGTTGTTTTTTGAGGACCTTATTGCCAAGTGGTTAGAACGCCGAGTTCTCTTTAAAGTGACCCAGGTTCTAATTCTGTAATAGGCGATGGACATTCTTTCCCTTGATGGCAACAATAAAAATCACTGCCTGCAAAGTTGATAGCTGCTGAACTATACAAGCGGGCCCTAAATTTCCAGGCTCAAAACCCCATTATAACATACCAGCCTAAACTGAGGTAAGCACAGGCAATTGAGGCAGACATTTGTTTTTGAAATGGAAAGAAAACCAACACGAACACAGAAGAATTTAAAATAATGTAGATTAACTCAAGTAAAGAGGTTAGGATGTAATTTTCAAACACAGTAACAGAATGAGCAGCCAATCCAGACACAGAAACAAAGTCAACTAGGGACGGGAACAAAGATAAATCACCATATATCTTGTGCAGTCTGGTGCTAATTTATAACATTTTCCTATACTAGGCAGAACAGAGAGAGAGAGAGAGAGAGAGAGAGAGAGAGAGAGAGAGAGAGAGAGAGAGAGAGAGAGAGAGAGAGAAAGAGAGAGAAAGATAGAGAGAGAGAAAGAGAGAGAGAGAGAGAGAAAGAGAGAGAGAGAGAGAGAGAGAAAGAGAGAGAGAGAGAGAGAGAGAGAGAGAGAGAGAGAGAGAGAGAGAGAGAGAGAGAGAGAGAGAGAGAGAGAGACATACTAACTTCTGCCAGACGTGTAATCTTCTGCATCATCTTCCTTCTGTTGCTGGTTGTTAACGTGCAGTAAGGCTTCTCCTTCATGGAGTAATTTGTCATCTGGGGGCAGAACTACTTTCTTGTTGACAAACGTGTTTGCCTGGAGATGCCAAACCAAAGCATTCATAGTTGTCACATTTGCTGGAAAGTGTCGAATAGATCATTTGTTGCTAGTTTTCTGTATTTAAAGATAATAGTGTCCCATCGTGCCAATCGGAAGTATGGGAATAGCTCCATTGTGCCCATCGGAAGTATGGGAATAGATCAATTGTGCCCATCGGAAGTATGGGAATAGATCAATTGTGCCCATCGGAAGTATGGGAATAGATCCATTGTGCCAATCGGAAGTATGGGAATAGATCCATTGTGCCAATCGGAAGTATGGGAATAGCTCCATTGTGCCCATCGGAAGTATGGGAATAGCTCCATTGTGCCCATCGGAAGTATGGGAATAGCTCCATTGTGCCCATCGGAAGTATGGGAATAGCTCCATTGTGCCCATCGGAAGTATGGGAATAGATCCATTGTGCCAGGTAGCGTTATGGGAATCGCTCCACTGTGCCAAGTAGCGTTATAGGAATCTCACCGTTGTGCCCATTAGATGTATGGGAATCGCTCCACTGTACACATCAGCGGTATTAGAATCGCTCCATTGTGCCCATTAGAGTTATGGGAATCGCTCCATTGCGCCAAGTAGCGTTATATGAATCGCTCCACTGTGCCCAGTAGAGGTATGGGAATCGCTCCACTGTGCCCAGTGGCTTTATGTGAATCGTTCCACTGTGCCCAGTAGACGTATGGGAATCGCTCCACTGTGCACAGAAGAGGTATGGGAATCGCTCAATTTTGCTCTGTATGAGAATTACTACATTATGCCTAGTAGAGGTATGGGAATAGCTCCACTGTGCCCAGTAGAGGTGTGGGAATCACTACATTATGCCCAGTAGAGGTATGGGAATCACTCCACTGTGCCCAGTAGAGAGAGGTATGAGAATCACTACATTATGCCTAGTAGAGGTATGGGAATCGCTCCACTGTGCCCAGTAGAGGTATGGGAATCGCTCCACTGTGCCCAGTAGAGGTATGGGAATCGCTCCACTGTGCCCAGTAGAGGTATGGGAATCGCTCCACTGTGCCCAGTAGAGGTATGGGAATCGCTCCACTGTGCCCAGTAGAGGTGTGGGAATCACTACATTATGCCTAGTAGAGGTATGGGAATCGCTCCACTGTGCCCAGTAGAGGTGTGGGAATCACTACATTATGCCTAGTAGAGGTATGGGAATCACTAAATTATGCCTAGTAGAGGTATGGGAATCGCTCCACTGTGCCCAGTATAGGTATGGGAATCGCTCCACTGTGCCCAGTAGAGGTATGGGAATCGCTCCACTGTGCCCAGTAGAGGTGTGGGAATCACTACATTATGCCTAGTAGAGGTATGGGAATCGCTCCACTGTGCCCAGTAGAGAGAGGTATGAGAAACACTACAATATGCCCATTAGAGGTATGGGAATCACAGCCTACGGCGATATTAATTATGCATGAGGTTCCTGCACTCTAAAGCACAAAATCTGGGTAGAGTTGTAGAGACCATGTGTGTCTATGCAATCCATCGCTATGCCTGCTTTGTTGATTCCAAAAAACAGCTAACACTAGTGTGTTAAGAACAAAGCATGCCACAGAGGCTGGTAGATCTGAAGAGCAGTGCTCTGACTGTCAAAGCTTCAGTCCTTGACGATCTGCAAGCTAAAGGCTAAGGGGCTGGTCGGCTCTGCCATATCATCATAATCATCCTGTAACACCGCGTGTCGTTGGGTCATCAGTTGCTCTTGACTGTTTCTGATCAGTTCCCTGCACCTTTGATGGTCAGATGCGATGGACTTCCTGGTTGTATGCCTCAGGCCTGTCCAGTCAAGCAAGTTCTGTAACCAGGTCTTTCTTGGTCTGCCTGTTTCCCTCCGCCCCTCTACTGAAACCTGCATTATTATTGTTTTTAAGAAGCAGTTAGATTTCATTATAGTCCCTACAACTGCATTTTGTGCCTTTTCATTGAACACTGTTTTCCTGTTACATTTTCTAGTCCCTGAGAATGTATCACTAGAGCTTAAGACTATCATATCTCTTGGGCTATAGTTAGTAATACTCTACATTAGACGCTGATTACATTCATCACAATTGCCTGATTTTATAGTAAAATAAAAACTCAAAAGTTTTAGCCCTTAAAAAAAATTTTGTCTTGGTTTAATTGCAATGTTGTTGTGTCTATTTATAAGTAGACATGTCCAAGTTTGCGGATGAAACAGTTTGCATGCAACTATTTTTTAAATGCTGATTTAACAGGATCTTAATTCTGTGTCGGCGTCTGTGGCTCAGGCGTTGCAAATGCGCTTCGTAATGCCGGGGTGCCGTGTTCGAACCTAGCTGCGGACGGTTTGTCTTGCATTGGTTTCGACAGTGTTATCGAGAGCTGATCGTTCAGTGGCGATGGCAAAATATTAAATGTGCCTAGAAAAACTACAGTAACTGAAAAAAATGCTGGGGTTGGTTCTGCAACGTCCTGTAAATGATACGCAACTAACCTTAACTCAAGAGCTGCACATACTTTTGTTTATTTGCTCTGCTTTACTTTGCTTGTTTGTCCTCCTTTAGTTTTAATAATTCTTCTTTTTCTTCTTCTTCGCGTTCACCAGCTGTAAACTCTGACGGAAAGTTCTGGTTGCTCGTCCACTACTAAACTGCAGTCCTGTTCCAGAACCTGAGTGTTACGTGTGCATCAGTTTTACAGATCTCATTCTCTTGAATACAGACTGTTGGTTTCTTGCCTCTCCGGCAGATGCACTCCGACTTCAAAGGAAGCTCCCCAATTAGTCGACTCTTACGACATGCTTTTGGGGAGGCAGTGAGTCTATTCTTGTTTCCCCCACAATGGGGCCCCGGAACCAACACGGGGGAGTTTGAATAACTGTTTATCAATCTTTGGTGATTAGTTAGGACGATCATCAAATCGCTTTATCAGATCCATCGGTGCTCTGATCGCCCCAACAGATCCATAGGCAGTAAAATAACTGAAAACAACTGTTCTGTAATAATTAATCAACAGTCAAATACCTTTGTGAAATGCTAAACGCCTGGCAGCCCCTGATTGCACGTTCATGTTCACCAGCCTAGATAGGGATGCACTGTCATGCTTTCTGGCATTTGTAAACAATGCGACCTTTGGCCCTGATTCAACTCGCATCAAGCCAGATGTCTTTTACTATCTGCTACACCTCACGCCATGTTTTCTCTCAAATTATCCATCACTGCCTCCATTTCTCCTCTTAATATGGGTTTATGTCTCCTTCGGTCTTTTTTCTTCTTCTTCTGAGCGTTCCAGTGTAATGATATCATCATCATCATACTGTAACACTACTTGTCGTTGGGTCACCAGTTTCTGTTGACTGTCTGATCAGCTCTTTCCACATTTGGCGGTCAGTTGCGATGGACTTCATTTTCGCTTTTTCGCTATAGTTAAAATAAGTTAATAGTTGCCAAGGTCTGTCTGGGCATTATATCTCCATTGTCTTCTTGGTCTGCCTCGTGGTCTACGACCATTCATCTCCCTGGTGTCTACAGTTTTTACCTCTCTGTCATCTGCCATTCTTTCAATATGCCCCAGCCACTTCAACCTATTAGCTCTCATCGTGCCAGTGATCAATGGAGATTTAAACAGTTTTTGAAATTCGTTGTTGCTTCTCCCTCTCCATTCCCCGCTGTTTACATATTTGAAAGGTCCAAAGATTCTCCGTATTACTCTATTTTCGAAACCCTGTAATAAGGTTTCATCTCTTTTAGTTGTGGTCTGAGTTTCAGAGCTATATAAAACGACTGGTCTCACCAACGTTTTATATATGTTGATCTTAGTGTGGTGAGATAAGGACTCTTGACTTTAACAGATGTTGAAGGGCAGAATATAACTGATTACACACACCTATGCTGCACACATCGATCTATCCCCCAATACACACCCACACACATATATATATCATGATGTATTCACAGATCTCTCCCTCATTACACATACATTAAAAAAAATGTTGCATGCTGCACACATTGATTTCTAAATCATCACACACGCCTACACAAATAGAACATACCATAATCTCTTCCTCATCTTCATCAGCGCCGCCCTCCTTGGGCATGAGTTTGGTGAAGTAGTTGACGGCAGCATACTCAATCAGTGCCGCCATCTCATACACGATGCAGACATTCAAAAACACATCCAAAGCTGTTGCATAGGGCACACGGGGCAGGCCTTCTCTCACGGTCATCCCAATAGCTGCTGTACTGAGGATCGTTGTTACACCTAGAAATATACATCGTTAATGGTTACCATGGTGCTAGAATACACGGCGAAAGAAGTTGGCGAATCTGCATTACACATAATAATTGCAACACACAAACACACTAAATGTTAACATAAGAAGCTCGCACAAACTTCGTAGCAGTGGCAGCAATTTTTCTTTGAACTGAGCAGACTCTCAATACTCCGGTGTAACTAAATAAAAAAGCAGCCATTTTCAGATACGTAACATCAGTTTTCCAAACCATTTTAAGCAATAAACAGGACAAATCAACGTCGGTTTTTTAAAACATCAGAATGTTTCCCACAAGAACAGAATTATTACAGCAGTAAATTTCACCCACCACCCATGGATCCCTAGAAATGCAATCTCTGCCTTTCCATCGCTTGCGAAGGCTACGGAAATACCAGAGATTTAAAACGCCAAAAACACGTTAAAAACAATTTACAAAGTTGAAATGGAGAGATGACTACAACAATTACAGTTCACAACATGTTGTAAGGCCAGGAAAATAAGAGATACAATGTAAAATTGCCATTATATCATTTACTGCTTTTGTTGATGTTGTTAGAGGAGCGGCTGGCCGAACGGTTAGGACGCTGCGCTCTCCTGGGTTCGAATCCTCGGTAAGGCTAGGGATTTTTTTTTCTGTCGGGGGCATAATGAATTCCTCACCTGCATAGTCGTGGCGACAACACCAGCCTTGCGGCCGTAAATCCTTAGGCTCAAACAACCACCCCCCCCCCCCCATGCCTACACAGCAACCGTGGTAAAGCAAAAGGCAGTGACTGGTAGATGATGTTGTTGATTATATCAGGTAGGTTTCAAGGTAAGAAACAGTCTCGAGAACTTGGGGACAACCAGCAAAACTAATAGAAAAAGGACGGGGGGAAGCAAAACGATAAATACCTTGATGGTTTGGCCACATGCCTGAGGTGAGACAAGAGCACAGCCTGATCCGTGATTCTGCTGATCGTGTAGGATGGCGAATGATGACCGCCTATGCTTTTCGGCGTAGCACATGATGATGATGCTGATATTTCCAGGGAGAAAAAAGGGGGCGGGGAGCGCTGGGCGATTTTTCTCACTGAAAAGGGTGCGGTTGACCAAACAAGTTTAGAAAACCTGTGGGTAGAGTGTCAGCCAGATCGGCTGGCTTCCCCCCCCCCCCCCCTCTCCAGATGATCCATATGTGCTTCCGGATTGTTCATGTGCCCTTAAAACACCGTCGGCGTCTTCAGCTTACCGTGCATCAAATCACCACCCAGTGGTGCAGTGCTAGCTCATCTATCTGTTTGCTCATTTTCCAACACACCTGCAGACTCTGGAGCATATCCAAAGGACGCTTACTAATGGGGTCATCTGAAGCAATACCACTTTGAACGGAGCATGCCTTGCTCCACCTTTCTCGGCATGCTTTGTGAGTTGACTACAGTCACGACATTTGTGTGAGGCTAGTTCTCAAGCCAGCGAAAAGCTTTTGTGACTGCCTCCGCCTCCATTCTCTCTGTATACAGATCATCATCTGTGTAGATGATCACATCAACTGGGCAGGAATTATAAAGAATCAGTTTTGTTAAATGAATGAAAGGGCCAATCACAGAGATTGGGTAATATCTGCAGCAATCAACCCAAAGTGCTCGAAATGCTAAAGAAGAAGAAGCAGATTATTGAATCATAATGGCACAACCAACGAATCCGTTCTCGTCATCAAGCCACAGTAACTTACTAGGAGAATAATGAGAACATAATGGGCCAGCCCACATCCCCCAGTTTTAATCGTATTGTTGTTTTTACACAGGCAAGTGAAAGTGGGAGCACATCCAAACACACGGAACGAAAGTTAAATATATTCGGAAAAAAAAAATGCATAAGGAATCATGGGTATTAAACGGGAAGAATTTAATATAGGTGAAGAGTATTTCTGTGGCAGAAAAGAAGTCTGATGTCGAACATTTGTTAATCTTTTTAATACGTCCTCAACGGATAATAATAGATCTATCATGTCTGGATTTCATGTTACTTTGTAACCTGGTGGTTGAAAGGGGTTTCTTGGTTTTGTACCTGGGGGATTCTCACCCGAATAGTAAGACTTTGCGGCACCAGGTGTTAACTGTTCAGTGTGCGGTTCTGGCGTGGTTCAACTTCACCGGTCAATAATTATTTTCTGCCGATTCAACATCTAACATAGAATAGGTCACTGAAAGAGGTCACTGACCGAGCAGTACTCTGGCTGGAGCGGCGTCTCTGTTGATCCAGAAGGATACCCACGACAGACTGACGATCAGG